ATATATATATATAATGAATATTTTTGGTATAAATATGTCCTAAATAGTGATTGAGATATACGTAAACAAAATTTTATTTGTCATTTAACTAAAATTCAAATTGATCTGGGTACCCTGTTTCGCTTTTTGTTAAATCTAACAGTCCAAATCCTAACTCACCCCCTTCCTGGGACCCAGGTAGTAGAAAAGGGGAAGGGGGAAGGGCTGTATAGGTGGTGGGGTAGGAGGACGCTGAGCTCTGGTCCTAGATCTTTTATGTACTCATTGTGAGGCCTTTATCCCTTTTAGTGACAATTACGGTTTAAATATGAAGTATTGCCCCAAAGACTCATGTATTGAGAGCTTGATCCTTAGTGCAGCAATGATCAGATGTGGTGCCTAGAGAGATGGATGGATCATGAAGACACTGATGTCATGAATGGGCTGACCCATTGGTGAATTCATAGCTGAATGTGCTGATTGGTGGGTGCGTGTTGAAGGAAGTAGGTCACAGGGCTAGAATCCAGAAAGGTATATTCTTGTCCTTGGCTGCTTCCTCCTCTGGTTCTTTCTTTCCTTGCTCTGCTTCCTGACCACATGAAGTGGGCCCTTCCGCTACGATAGTCTGCCTCATCATAAGCCTAAAACAATGGCTGACTATGGACTGAAACTTATGAAATCGTGAGCCAAAGAAAATCTTTCCTCCTTTAAGTTGTATGTGTTCCCTATTTTGTGTCAGCTACAAGAAAGTAACTAATACAATGACTCTGTTTTCCCATGTGCACAGTAAAATGTTGAAGCAGTAGTCTCCAGGAATTTTACTGACTCTTACCCTCTGGCACGGGAGAGATTTTCTATTTTCCACACTCTTACTGCCTCATTCAGAGGGCACAGTTATTTCATTATGGAGCCTCTCCCACAGGATTGAATCTTCTGAGCACATGGTTTTTCATTCACAGGAACTATGACATGGGTGTGGGGGCTGACAGTAAGACATCTCTAGCTGATGTATTGGAAGAACCATTTATAAGTTACTTAACCTGCATTAGCCTTAGTTTTTGTACCTTATTACAATTGAAGGGTTGATGTAAGCTCTCTTGCTAGCATATAATAAGTATGTAATAAATAGTTGCTTTTGAATTTAGATTTCCAGAGTCTGGCAAAGTTTCTGACCCAGGATTGGCATTCTGAAATATTAGATGAAAAAAAAATTGAAGTGGTGATAAAAAGAGCTAAAACTGAAAAAGTAATTTGTCAGTAACACTGAGGGAACCTTGGGAACCTCCTCCTTGTACAAAGGATTCGCTAGGCCTGCATCTACTTGGGTTTGTGAGAAGGCTGTGGCGAGAGTGTAAGTACACATTCAGCTCACAAAAACGGGTATTGCCTGGGGCCCTCATCCAAGCTCTGCCAATCAGTGCAAAGTAATGGATTCTCCAGCAGACAACTTCTTGCAGCTGCCAGAGCCTGGCTGTACTGCACATACTCCAGACTCAGGATTCTTGGCTACCTCCCAGGCCCTTGGAAGCATCCAGTGCATTCTTGGCCACAGCACACCCTATGTAGGGGAAGGGGGGGTACTCTTTGGGCCAACTGGGGACTGCTGTATGGGTGAGTTGAACCAACTTTCTGGTTGGGGTGCCACGTGAGGAAGATAGATTAAATCCTAAATCTGGGGAAGCCACAAGTGAGAGCATATCTAAGCAGAGCTTTGCCTAAAGAATGGAGTTGGGATGTGGAACACAGGTATATCTCATTTGGATGCATTTAGTAATAATAAACCCTCCTGCCTTTGGCCAAGGTTAAACTTACTGCTGAGACTTGGAGGCTTTGTGGGTATCTAGAATTCACCGCAGGTCACCCGGTGTTGATCTCCAAAAGGGCATCAAGGCAGCCTCAAACACTATCTAGCAGCAGAGGCAAGGCTGGAGGCATTCATCTTAGCCCAGCAGTGTGGCTTAGGAATGTAGGTGGAGAAATAGCCTGGGCAGGCCAAATGGACTGCTGCACAGAACCATGGATACCAGGGTGTGACAAGGAAGTGAGCCTCACTCAGCCAAACCACACACACACATCATTCTTCAGAAGCCTGCTTTCAGATTCAGCAAGATCCTGAGAAATAATTTGGAAAACCCTCTTTGCCTGGCAGGCAGACAGAGGCACATGCCACAGAGGGGTCCCAGGCTACCCATGATCCAGGACTTTCTTGGCCAGCTGTCGTGAGTTTGTGCCAGCATCTCCATTCAATCCTACACACTGCAAGAGGCTTCCTAGGGCCAGATAACAGTGCAGATGGAAGGATAAATACAGAGAAGCTGCAGTCTAAGGCAAGTTGGGCGAACCATGGACCCAAATTAACATTTTTCTTCTCCATGAACCACCCATTTTTCTTGGTCATTTTTTCCCAATTATCACATCTATGAAGCACAATAAGACACCGTGGAGACTGATTCCTGGGAGAGTGGAGGAAGGGTGGCTCTATCTGCTGGGGACTTCAAGAATCACATCCAGGGATATGATTCTGAGCCTTGAAAGTGAATAGGACTGTTATGGATTGAATCCATTCTTCCAAAATGGTATACTAACCCTTTGCACCTGTGAATTTGACCCGATTTGGAAACAAGATCTTTGCAGATGGAATCACATTGAGATGAGTTCATTAGGGTGGATTCTTAATGCAGTTAACCCTATAATAAGAGAAGAATGGCACGAAGACCCAGAGAACACAGGCATGCAAAGGAAGAACTCCATGAACAACAGAGGCAGAGACAGAAGCAGTGCCACCACCAGCCCAGGAACACTGAGGCTGCAACCACTACCAGAAGCTCTGAAGAGGCAAAGAAAGGGCCTACCTCTCAGTGGCAAAGCCTGGTCCTGCTGACACTTTGATTTCAGAAATCTGGCTCCCAGAACTGTAAAAGGATAAAGCATTTCTTTGTACTTTTAACCACTGAGTTTTTGCTGCATTGTTCTGGAAGCTCTAGAAAATTAATACAGGACCAGAGAGCTTGTATCCTGAGGTTGCCCATTGTTCTTCATGTCCCCTTTAGACCTAGGTCATGACCAGTCCTATCCAGGTTCAAAATAAAATGAAAAGTGGAAACATAGGGAGACCAGGGTGAAAAAAGACCCAGGGCTAGAAGGTTTGGATGATACTTGAAGGAGAATGAATTTGGCTGCAGAGCAGCAGCCACAGTGAATGGGGCTGGAACAAGGGCCAACACCAGATTATGTCACCTCATTCCTCAGCCAAATACAACTTTGGACTCCCTCTCCCCTCAACACTGGCCTTCCTCTTCCTCAGCAGGGTAAGGCATGTGAATGTCACATAAATTACCACAAAGACAACCTCCCTCCTCTCCACACCTTATGTAGATACACTGCATGCTTGCGTTTTGGAGTGTTCTTCTTCCCTGTTTATTCTGAAAAATCCATAACCTCTCTGATCTCCACCTACACTTGGGATAAATAGCAAGGCAGATGAAGGCATCAGCAAGATGATATCAAAATATGACAGTCACTATGATAGATATTTTCTAGAGTTTGCACAGCAGAACTACAAAGGTAAAATCATTGTTTCGTGCCAGATCAAGGTCAGAAGAGAGAAGTGCTGCAGATCCCCAGACTCAGAATCTTTGATGAAGATACCCACAGGGAACCACGGAACAACAGATGACCTTACAAGTCAAAGAAAGAACTCACTGTACCTTGGACTGGGGAGCCACGTCAAGCAACAAGCCAGAGTGCTCAAAGACATCTGAAGGTATGGAGAATAAGCTTTCCACCCTTTCTACCCTTGCAACCTTAATATTATGCCTGCACCTGTGTCTACGTGATATCACCCTGGGCGAGGGAGGGCTTGAGTGCAAGATGTGAAACGAAGAAGTACAGCCCTCCAAAGCCACATCAAGATAGCAGAGGCTGGTGGTAGAAAAATTATCACTTCAATCATTCACTTATTTATTCAGGCATTTATTTAGCCACCTAGTGAGCAACTACTAAATGCCAGAAGGAGCTCATAGGCAGCATGGTGAGGTGGGACACAGGACGTGGGGATGAGGTGGCCTGGATCTCACATGGATAGATTGGTTAACAAATGTGCTCCATGTGAAGTTATCTACAGCATGGAGAGAAATAACTTTCCGTGCAATTTTAAGTTTATATCCCATTATTGGAACATCCTAATTTGCACATGCAAAGGTTTGAAACACTGCATAATTTTCATAATCTCTTTCTGGTATTGCTTTATTTTTAAATTATATTAGAAGTTTAAAATAAATGAATATGAGCCCCCTTGGACTTCTATGGGATAGTAGTGTCCCCCAAGGGCAGCCTGGAGGAAGGTGTTTTGAGCTGTTCTTTCCTAATTTTTCATGCTCTCCAGCAAAGCAAGGCCAAGCAAACTCACTGTCATTAAAAGAAGCACAGGTCTTGCCATGACACTGAGTTTCATTCCTTCCTCTCACTCCATGAGATTGCTGCTTCTGAGCAGCTCCTGGGTAGAAATTCTGGAGATGCCACCACCCAGAGCTAAGCTTTGTGTTGGATGCTATACATACAGTGGTGAGAGAGAGGGAGTCAAGAGGTATCCTTACCCCCAGGGCTTTATTACAGCATAAGAAGTATTCACAAGGTGACATGAAGAGTGGGATTTACCAAGGCAGGACAGTATACCAGGTGACCTGACATAAAGGGGGCAGATTGAGTGAAAGAGAAAGCTAGGACCTGGATATTGTGCTTCTCCACTGCATATAGAGGGACCACAGGGGATTTTCCTGAGCTATTCAATCTCTGGCTGTGGTCTCATGACACCTATCTAACTTTCTAATTAAGTCTGTCACAGACCATTTATTTACTTGTTCACTCATCTGCCTTTCCCAGTGGACTGTGAACTCTTCATCAGCAGAAGCCCTTGCTGTATCTCCTTGGGCCTGGAACAAAATGGCTTCCTTATTGGAATTTGCTGAATGAGTACATCCAGTATCATTCTCCACACACTGTGTTTTGACCACCAACCAGCTACAGTTGATTTAGGGAGACCAAGGCAGTGGTAGGGAACCTTCACACTCAGCTCAGCAGCAAGCCCACTTCAAAGGAAGATGATGGAGAAGAGACAGTTAATACATGTGCATTAAATTTACCTTAGAAATCTTCTAGTTAAGCACCACTGGGGTTTCCCCAATCAACTAAACATTTGAAAAAATAGCCCATAAGATACAGAACATGCACATGGTGTGGCTGAGTCTAGCTGGTTGTGGTGATGTCTTAGATAAAAATAGCCCCGCTATGGCCTGATTCTGTAGGGAAGACAAAGTCTTCTCAGTTTTGACGAGAGGGAGGGGGATCACTCTCTAAATCCTACTTTTCAACAAAAATTTTTAAAATATATTCTTTATTTTCCAATCATGAAAGGAATACTGGCTTACTAGAGACCATTTGGAAACTACAGAAAATCACAAAGAACCTCACCAAATGCTTTGGCATGCTTCCTTCTAGTCTTTCAATGCAACTCAGAATGACAGCAGAATGAGGAATAAGTAGGAGAGCAGGGAAATGTGGTCATTTTGGTGTTATTTCATATACAGTGAGTTATCAAAGTAGGGCTTTGCCTTTTTGCATACACTTTTACTTTTATCTGATTATGAGAGCAATATATTCTAATTTTGGAATTGATAAGAATGAAGTTCCTGTCACCTGTGTGTCACCACCAGGAGATAAAGACTTAATATTCAGAGCCACTTTTTCCAAAGCCTGTTTTCTGGGTAAATCAGTATAGGTGAGATATCACTGGGCAGGAAATACTGCATCCTGAGAAATTATTTTCACTTAATTTCAGATAAAGAAAGATTTTCCCCCACACCTAAAAATCTTTTGGAAGTGGAGAATAACAATACAACCACATTTTCTAGATGGTTAATAATTTATTTAATAATTTTAATGGCTTGGGGATTTCTAAAATTTACAACTCTGTATATAAATGTTGTGACCAATATTTTAGCTGCACATTTTTTGTGTGTAAAAATCTCATTCAGGAGCTAAAGCATGTACAGTTGCTTTAGAAAACTTTTGGTCATATCTGCTTACTCAAACATATGCTTACCCTTTGACTCAGCAATCTCACTCAGAGATCTATACTTAAAGGAATGTAGTTTGTATGTCCACAAAAAGATAGGTAAAAAAACAATACATAACCTTATACATAGTTACTTCAAATTTGCATTATCCAAATTTTCATTGATAGAAAATTAATAAATAAATTATAGTATAGTCATAAGTGGAATACCATCAGATATGATCTGGACATTTGTCTCCCTGCCTTCAAATTCATACTTTGAAACCTAATCACCAATATGATGGCTCTGGGGAGTAGGGTCTTTGGGATTAGCCCACTTAGAAGCCCCAGCGACCTCTGTTGTCCCTTCCATCATACGAAAACACAGCGAAAAGGTACCATCTATGACAGGAAGCAGTTTCTCAACAGACTCCAAGTCTTCTGGTGCTTTGATCTTAAATTAAATTTCCAGCCTCTAGAACTGTGAGAAAGAAAGTCCTCTTGTTTTTAATTAGAAATGATGAAATATTGATACATGCAATAAACAGATCTCTCACAAATTGTTAAGAAAAAAAAAGCAAAACACAAAAAGGAAGTTTGTGTAATCCTACTTCTATGAAGTTCAAGAACAGATAAAGTTAGTCTGGGTAGAAATCAGAATGTTGGTTCCCCATGGATGGGAGAAGGCTGTTTTCTGACTAAGAAAGGTTGTGATGGTTAATCTTCATTGTCATCTTGATTGGCTGGACACACGTAGGAAATTAGTAAAGCACACTTCTGGGTGTGTCTGGCTGCATCATTGGGTGTGACCTTATATCTGGTCTCTGGGTCCTTCCTCTCAGACTCTTCTTTGGCTCTCTGCTTCTTGGGTGCCATAAGTCAAGCAGCTTTCTGGCATCATAATGATTCTGCTAAGGAGCCAGCTAACCAGAGACTGGAACCTGAGGCAAAATAAACCTCTCCACCTTTAAGTTACTCGTGTCAAGTATTTTGTCCCAACACAGAAACTTGACCAATGCAAAGGACATGAGGAGATCTTTTGGGTTACTAGAAGTAATTCTGTATTTTGATCTGGGTAGTGATTATATCTGTGTCGGCAAATGTGAAAGTCTGTGAAGCTATACCTTTAAAATTAATAGAGTTAATACAATTTACTATATATAGGTTTTGCCTAAAATAAAATTCCTCCCAGTGCCAGTACATTAGCTCACCAAAGGAGAATTTCAGTTACTTCTGCACATGGTGGCCATTTTCTATGAAAACTTTTGTGGCAGAGCTTCATGAACTAGAAAGCAACATGTTGTAAAGATTATCCTTTTTCTTGCAGTGTCTCACCTCTGAGAAAGCCTATGGCGTGGCAGAGAGTTTCCTTTTGGGGCATCATCATATTCTTTTCCTTGAGTTCTTAAAAATATTGACCTTTTGAGGTCAAGCACAATTGTCAGCAATGGCTCGACGTACTTCTTCACTTGATAAATGGGATTGCCAAGATGGTGGTCAGAGAAATGATTTGTCCACAGCCAGAGTCAGGCACATTGGGTTGAGCTCTTCATTCACTGGATGATCCCGTGCTGAGTATCTAGCCCGTGCTAGGCCTGGGCCAGGTACAGCGCTCAAGGAGCTTTTCATTAACAGTACAAAAGAATGGGGGCCTCACACCTCTTAGGATGCCCACTATCCAAACACCAGAAAATAACAAGTGTGGGAAATGCTGCCGAGAAATTAAGGATGCAGGGAAATTGATGGTGTAGCCAATTCAGAAAACAGTATAGTGGTTCTTCAAAAATTAAAAATAGATGTGGATACAAAACAATTGAAAGCAGGGACACGAAGAGATATTTGTGAATCAGTGTTAGTACTCCCACTTTACAATAGAAAGTAGAAGCTATCTATATGTCCATTGATCAGTGAATGGATGAAGAAAATGTGTTATTCTAAAAGGTAAGAAATTCTGTTGCATGAAACATGGATAAAATTTAAGAACATTTTGGTAAGGGAAATAAGCCAGTCATACAAAAAAAATATACAGTATGATCCTCTTTTTCTGAAGTATATAGGGTAGGCAAATTCGTAGAGATGGGAAGTAGAAGAGTCCTTGCCAGGGACTTGAGGAACAGTGTTAGTTCTGGAGGATGGGGAATAAAGAAGTGAAGTATGACACTAAAGGGGTTTAAGGACCCTGCACTTCAATCCCAAGTGTCCCCTATATTGCTATGTCCATTTCTATTGTGGGTGTCAGTCTTCTAATCTATAAATGGGAAAGAGTGAACTAAAAGTACCAGAAAGATCCTTCTCTGGTGGCCTCTGATTCAACACGACTACTCTTCTTTTGAAAGACTAAAAACTAGAGCCAGTTCCCACAGTATCCTCTTCCATCAGCCTGGTCCTGAGAATCATTTGCCTTTATCACTTTAATCGTGACATTGACATTCTAGTGTCCATTTTTAGTATATTACTGGGCTCCTTAGGAATCCTTGGTTTTCCACAGGTTTCAAGAGGCTGCCAGCATTTCAGGGGCCCAAAAAGTCCATTTTAGAGACATTTTTCAGGGCTTAGGCTCAGATCCTGGCTCTGGGGTGCATCCAAACACCACAAGCAAATTGGCCTTTGGTACTTTAGTACTTTCTAGATCACTCATGATGAAAGAAACAGAACCAAGAAGTATATCTTGAAAACTGCAGACCAGCACTGGATGGCTTTGGTGTCAGGTTTGTGCCGAGGCGTATTAATGTTCCCACAGTGTGAGTCACTGTCAATTCTCCCAGAATCCCATGCTCAGCCTGGGGGCTGCTTTGAGATCCAGCACTTACACTTCGTATCTAGGTGGAAGATTAGAACATATGTACAGTGACCATGGTCCACTGACTCAATAAATAGCCAGATCCTGGCAATACACTACAAATTCCCCTTGGTTTCTTTTAACACATGAATTATGAAATTTTAGAGCTTTGTATCCTTT